TAGGGTTCTATAAATCGACTTTCGAATAATCGAACAATCGACTTTTTGTCGAAAAAAGTCGAAAAGTCGAAGTCGACTATTTTGTTCCAAAAAAGTCGATAACTCAACTATCGTCTATGAAAAAAGTCGACTTTGTAAATAAAAGTCGAAAAGTCGGAAAGTCGAAAAAAGTCGAAAAGTCGAAAAAAGTCGAAAAGTCGAAAAAAGTCGATAAGTCGAAAAAAGTCGAAGAAAGTCGAAAAGTCGAAAAAAGTCGAAAAGTCGAAATAAGTCGAAAAGTCGGAAAAAGTCGAAAAGTAGGAAAAAGTCGAAAAGTCGAAAATAGTCGAAAATTTTAAAAAAGTGGAAAAGAGGTCAAAAACTCTAAAATAGTCGGAAAAACTCGAAAAAAGTAAAAAAATAGTCGAAAAAAGTCGAAAAAAAGTCGAAATAAGTCGAAAATAGTCAAAAAGTCGTAAAAAATCGAAAAGTCGAAAAGTCGGAAAAAGTCGAAAAGTCGGAAAAAGTCGAAAAAAGTCGGAAAAAGTCGAAAAAAGTCGAAAAAAGTCGAAAAGTCGAAAAAAGTCGAAAAAAGTCGGAAAAAGTCGAAAAAAGTCGGAAAAAGTCGAAAAGTCGGTAAAAATCGAAAAGTCGAAAAGTCGACCATATATAAAATACTAAAAGTCGAAAAGTCTAAAAGTCGACTTTTAAGTAAATGAAAAAGGTCGAAAAGTCGAAAAATCGACTTTTCATAAAATGGAAAAAGTCGAAAGGTCGAAAAGTCGACTTTTAACTAAATGCAAAAAGTCGAAAAGTCGACTTTTCGTTTCAACTATAGAACCCTACCTTTTATAGGTTCTCACCTAATCCGGGCTCTACACAGGCCTGTCAGATTTGCCGGCATTTTGTCGATATTTTACCTTCAAAATAGTAAAGTGCCGATTTCCCGATTTTTGCTTCAAAAATGCCAATCAAACCCAATCGAACAAACTAACGAATTTATTATAATTTTACAAAAGCAAAAATTACATGGAGCTTTTAAAATTATTGGGAAAGGAAAATTTACATTATGGAGAACACAATTTGCTCCATTACCAATGTCAATTGGATCGATTATGAAAAGGAAACACAATTTATGTATGAAAATCCTGAATAGGTTCCCAAAAGTCTGATCTAATACCCCATTTACACATACACGAAATCTACTAGATTTCATTTAAAATCTTATACAAATCTAGACCGTTTACACTTACTATTTTTAACATTTAACTGCCGGTCCACACTAGGAAACTTTTTTTGGGAAAATTTGATTATGCGTGAGAGAGAAAGAGAAAAAATATCATTCATCTCTCTCGCGGCGGTACGGAGTTTCCCGTACTCGGAAACTTGTTTTGTTTTGTTATTCTTCTCATTCGTACAACAACAAATCAATGCAATTAATACGTAGTTTCTGAAACAAAAGTTTTCATGTGTGGACATTAAGGAAACTTCAATAGAGAATTAAGAAAAAGTTTCTCAACAAAAGTTTCCTAGTGTCGACCAGGTTTAAGCGTAATAATTTCGCAAAAGCAGTACTCTGTTATTATTGTGAAAAACATTATTAAATTTATCTGGCAACCTTGTTTTCCAACTTACGAAAAAACATAAGCAGCACTTCTTTCGCACGAAATTAAAACAAACAGCTGCTTACATTTCATTGTTTTTCCCAAAATTATTATTTCTCGAGTCAAAAAAATAAAAAAATTACAAAATCATTAAAAAATGATAAACAAAACACTAAATTTACTGCACAAGCGGTCAATAATATATTTTCATTAATTTTAAATAAAAACACTGAATAGTTTATATAATTAAGATTTATTTTATTTTCAGCTTTCAAAAAACATATGGTTTTTGTTTACGTATTTAAAGCAATGATGCATACTTTATAGCAATAAAAGCTAAAAACTTTCCAAAATCGCGAGATAGACTACATTTGTGGCACATCAAATTTTTCGCATGAAAAAACAATAATTTTTCGCAACTTTGAACAGAGTACCAGGCTTTAGGAAGATTTAATTTTTGCTAATATTTCATGTATTGTGTTTAATATGAAAAATAAGATGGAGAAATGGGATATTTATTAAAATTTTATTTATAATAAAAAATAGATATTTAAATATAACATTACCTTCTATTTTGAATAAACTTTTCATTAATGTTTTTCAATTTATTACAATTTTGTTGACATTTTAATTTTTTGTTTCCTTTTGTACGAGATTTTAACTTTTCTAAATTAAAATAATTTTCAATATTTTTTATTTAAACGGAATAAAAATCCTTAAACTCTTATGTAGGGTATTTATTTAAACCGTTATTTAATTTTATTAAATATTTGAAACTAATTACATATAATTAAATGTATGAAAAATCTTCTGTTCGCAGCGAGGCAGTAAAAGCAAGTGAGTTTTAATAATCATTTCAATTTAAAAAGAGCCAAAAAAAGTGCGTATCAATATTTAAATATAGCTTACGCATATAACATACATATTTACATACATGCGAATATGGTAAAAAGTGCGTAGCAAAAAACCAGTATTTTTCTCACTTCTTTTACTGCATTTACTTTAATGAGAGAAATAAATCTCATTTAAGTAAATCTGCATAGAACTACCAAAATTACACAAAAAAGCGCGTAAGCTTTTATGTGCATTGTTCACACTAGCAATGAAATTAAAAAAAATAACTTAAATTGTTAAAGAGAAAAATAACAAATTAATGCAAATAAAATAATACAAAATATAAATATTAAAGTTGTTCTCCAACATTCTCCCCCACTAAGGACGACAGTGCTTAAACCGAGGAAGAATCATCATCACCATGTAGTTTAAAGTTGTAATCATTTTCTTCGGCATTAAAGCTATCATTTGTAGGTAACAGGGCAACTTTAGAAATTGGGCGTTTAAATGTTTTTCTGTTTGAAAATAGAGTGACCACCCTTACACAACCATCTTTGCCGGGATGAATATCTTGGATTCGGGCAAGCGGCCATTCTCCAGGGGCACCTCGTTCATCGAATACGACCACTAAATCACCAATTTTAGGGTTTTCGGTTATTTTGAGCCATTTGGGCCTAGCTTGAAGTCGACACAGCCATTCGTTACACCAACGTCGCCAAAAAAGTTGCTTCAGCTTTTCGACGGTTTTCCATCTATTTAGTCGATCAATGTTGACATCCAGTAAATCTTCTTCCGGTACACATAGAGTAGGTTCCCCAATCAAGAAATGAGCGCATTGCAGTCAGATGGTTCGGAATTTAGAGGGCACAAGGGTCTGGAATTTAAACAGCTCTCAATCTGGGCTAAAAGCGTTGTAAGCTCCTCAAATGTCAAAATACGGTTCTGCATCACTCTCTTTCAGTGGTGTTTTGTAGACTTCACTCCAGCCTCCCAAAGACCACCAAAGTTTGGAGAGGCTGGAGGTATAAAATTCCATTTCGTACCATTTGCGGCCAGGCAGTCGCTTATCTCATATGAAATCGATGATTTGCTGCGATTATAAAGAATTTGTAGCTCCTTATTAGCTCCAACAAAGTTCGTACCACAGTCTGAGTACAAGTCGGTACAAGGGCCACGGCGGGACACGAAACGCCTGAAAGCGGCCAAAAAAGCATCGGTTGACAGGTTTGTTTCTGCTTCCAAGTGTAAAGCTTTCGTAGTCATACATCAAAGTAAATTTATAAAGTAGACTCATTTGAACAGCTGACTATTTTTTTAAACTTGCTATTTGTGGACTTACTTGTCAAAAATGTTTATGTTGCCATATTTGTTTTTATTTTAACGCTTGCTTTTGTACAAATTTCTGAGTAATTTGTTGTATTTAATGTGAAAAAGTGTATTTTAAGTGTATAATATTTTTAAAAATGTTCTAATTTTTAAAAAATAAAGAAAACTCTGTGACTTTTAATATAAATAACAACATATTTTTGGAAAGTACAACAATAATGCCATATTTTCCATTAATTATTGGTTCATTTTTGTAAACAAATTTTGACAAGTGAGTATTTCGAACAAAAACAAATTGCCTGTGGTTTTTGTAGACGTTTGTTGTACAACAACTCGTGTCGCTACTTTATTAATTTACTTTGGTCATACATATAAACAAACAAATGTAGCCCTTTGTAGTAACTGAGTTTCTTGCAGTGGATTGTTTTATAGATATTGGACCGGCATAGTCGACTACACTGTGCTTAAACGGACGAGCAGGTTTAAGACGAACACTAGGGAGATTTCCCATCATCTGCTGGGCTGCCTTTGCGTTATATTTGAAACACGTTATACATTTTCGCAAGACACGTTTAGCAATACTTCTACTTGGTATTATCCAATATTCCCGTAGGACGTAAGCTTGCATTTTGATTAAACCGCCATGTAAAGTTTCTATGTGTGCATCTAGAAATAATAAATTAGTCAAAGGATTTTGCTTTTTAAGTAAAATTGGGTGTTTAGAACAATAATCAAGGTCAGAATTTTGTATTCTACCGCCAACTCTAAGTATTTGAGAGGAGTCAAAAAATGGGCAAAGTTAAGCTAAAGCGCTATTTTTTATAATTTGACCTCTCTTATGAAGTTCAGAAATCTCTTGCAAAAAATCCACCTCTTGTGAAAGTTTAACAAGCCTTAAACGAGCAAATTTTAGATCTTCGGTTGAAAGAAACCCTGTCATCTTACCGTTACCTTTTATTTGTGAATGTTTATAGTTTTGAGTATTGTGTTTAAAGCGAAATATGTATGCAGTAACACGTATCAATTTGCAAAGTGAAGAAAATCTTGTTAATATTTCTGGATATTGTTTTATTTCAGCTACAACCGAGTGCATATTTAAAGTTGGTTCAGTAAAAACTTCATCCATTTCATTTAGATTTAGTTTCGGTTGTTTTGGCCAATTTTCTGCAGATTCCGATAGCCATTTAGGGCCATGCCACCATAGTTCATGTTCAACCAATTCATTCTTTTTTCCATAGCGTCAGGTAAGCGATCATTCTATTCAATGCCAAGCAACCACAAATTTTGAAATTCAATTTTAGCCAGAATTGTAGTAGGGGAAAGCCAGCCTAAAGGGTCATAAAGTTTTGCTGAGTCTGAGAGTAAACTTCTTTTGGTAACTACTGATGTATCTTCAATATTGATCTTAAATGAAAAGCAGTCGCCTATCGTGTTCCACTCGAGTCCAAGAGCCTTTACGGTATTAGGTTGATTTAGTTCAAATATATCAGATTTTTGTCTGTAGTCTACAGGAATCAATTCTAGCAATTCCTTCGAGTTTGTTGTCCATTTACGTAAATTAAACTTGCCTTCATTAAGTAAACTACATAATTGAGTATGCAAATGGTAAGCTTCAGATAGACTATCAGCTCCAGAAATTACGTCATCGACATAAGTATCTGAATTGAGCACACTACATGCCATCGGATATTTTTCCTTTTCGTCCAACGCTAGTTGTTGTAAAACCCTAATCGAAAGAAAAGGAGCGGGTGTAGTACCATAAGTAACCGTTGATAGCTTATAAATTGATATCTGTTCAGAGCCACTATTTCTCCACAAAATTTGTTGAAACTTTCGTTGTTCCTGTACCACAAGTATTTGTCGGAACATCTTCTCCAAATCTGCCCGAAACCCAATTTTAAAACGTCTCCACCGATTTATAATTGTGGGCAAATCATTTTGCAATGCAGGACCAGGTAGTTCCTCATTCAAGGAAGATTGAGCAGACCTTTTACAGCTACCATCAAAAACTACCCTCAATTTAGTGGTAGAACTACTCTCTCTTAACACACCATGATGAGGCAAAAAGAAACCATTTTTTTCTAAATCACGTATGTCCGAGACATTCATACTCTTTCATAAAATCTAGATAAAGTTTTCCAAAGTTCTTATTCAATTTACATTTTGACTCAACATTCTTTAAACGAGAAAGTGCTGCATAATCCATATGACCAAAGACTGGAAGCGGGAGGCCTTTAAGCAATGATTTAAATGGCAGTGATACGGTGTAACGCCCAGATGAATCACGAGAAGTAGTGCTTTTGAAATGTTGTTCGCAAAGGATTTCTTCTTCTGTCAAAGCTCTTTTTTACAGCAATTCTTCTTGTTCCCAAAAGGACAGCAATTGCTTATCTAATGAACAAACATTTACTGTGATAATGTGCTCAGATGAGTTATCATGTGAGGGGCCAGAAACTATCCAACCGAAATGTGTGAGTTCTAAGAATAAACCACTTTCAAATTTTAGTTGCTGAGGTAATATGATATCTCCTCCTAACAAAAGGTCAATTTCACCAGGTTTCGAAAAATAAGGATCAGCTAATGAAAATTTCTTTAAATCCGGTAATAATGTTTCGTTTATAGCCATAGGTTGATATGCCGTTATTTTCGGAAGAACTAAAGCCTCGCAATCTATTTTAAAATTTGTTTCGATTCTTGAGAATATTGCAAAATTAACGTATTGCTTTGAAATAGTAGATTGGTTTCCACCTACACCGCATATTTCTACAAAGTTCCTTTCATAAGATAAGTTTAAGGCATCTGCAGCCTTTTTGGTTATAAAGGTTGCTTGAGCACATTGATCAAGAAGAGCACGCAAAACAAAATCTCCCTGAGAGGTTTTTAAAACAACACGCATCGTAGCGAGGAGAACTTGGGGCCTTTTCCTCCTGTTAGATGTTTTACTATTGTCAACGACATGAGCGGTAACGTTTTCAATACCTTGAGAAGACGAGGATGTTTGAGAAGGTATAACAGGTTCAGGGGTCGGAGTATTAGAAACATGATTTATAAAATACTCATGATGAACATGACATTTGTTACTAAAGTGGCCTGGGGTTAAACAATTTCGACATATTCGCTTTGAATTCAAAAAATCTCTTTTTTCACTAGATGGTAAAGCAGAAAACTTGAAACACTTGAAAAGAAGGTGACGCTTATTGCAGCAGGGGCAGTTGTAGTCGGTACTTGTGGAAGCAGCATTTACATAACGTCGAAAATTGTTTCTACTTTTATTTTGATGTTGTGGGGTTTTTGGTTTCGAAAAAGGAACATTAGGGCTTGAATCAGTCTGATCAGAAATAGTTTCTAATGTTCGAAAAGTTGATTCCAAAAATTTGAACAAATCTTCAATAGGAGGGATTTGAGTCGAGGCATTAAGCGATTGCTCCCATTCCTTTCGGGTTTGTACATCTAGCTTATTTACTGTCATATAAACAAGCATAGCATGCTCACCTTCGGTGTTTATTTCTAAAGTACGTAGTAGGGCAATACTAGTTCGTGTTGTGTCTAAAATCGTCTGAATGCTTTTGGAAGAGCCATCAGACGAAGGTATAGCAAACAGTTTTTTAAAAATAGTATCAACTATTTTTCTTTTATTATGATATCTATTCTGTAGAGCGGTCCATGCTAAAACGTAGCTTGAATCCGTTGCTGGATATTCGTTCACGATATCCAAAGGAGTTCCTTTACAAGAATTTTTCAAAAAACAAAATTTTTGAACATCGGTTAGCCCAGAATTATTATGGACTAACGAAACGAACATGTCCTGATAAGACATCCAAGTGAGGTAATCACCACTAAAAACTGGCAAATCAATCTTCGGCAAACGAGCCTGAAGCGAAAAGGTTTCATTTCTAGAATGAGAGGGACCAGCAAACGTACTGGACTGAATTCCAGGAGAACGAGTAACAGAAGAATCCATGAAATCAAGCAATTGGCTTTTAAGGGTAAGAAACTCGTCTTGAAATTGATAATAAACATCGTCTTCGAAATACGGAATATTTTCTGTATTAATAGTATTGTCACGGACTACAGCGCATAATTGGGTATTCCCGTCTTTAAATTGCAAAAAAATTGATTCTATTTCGTCTAAAACAGATTGTGCGAAGCCATGCGTTTTATGCTGTCTTGAATTATATAACCTATCAGTACGTTTTAAATTTAAAAATAAATCTTTTTGATCCTCAATAAGATGGTGAATATCCGCCATTTTTGTTCAAAACACTTTTTTTATTTTCAGTATTGTATAATACAAAATGTTATGCATACATACAGTTTTCCAGAAACCACAAATTAAGGTAACTGTAACGCAGAGTTCCAAACCTTTTTTTATTTGTTGCAGCAAGTTTTACTTTTCAAAATATCTTCAAGACTACAAGCGATATTTCCAAGAAGTTCTAGAGCCAAGTTCCGATTGCAAAGCAAGCAGTTCTAAGGGCAATAAGATTCCAATTCGTTACTCCAAATAGCACACAATTATTCACCAGTCCCGGGTTTCGGCACCATATAATGTACGAGATTTTAACTTTTCTAAGTTAAAATAATTTTCAATATTTTTTATTTAAACGGAATAAAAATCCTTAAACTCTTATGTAGGGTATTTATTTAAACCGTTATTTAATTTTATTAAATATTTGAAACTAATTACATATAATTAAATGTATGAAAAATCTTCTGTTCGCAGCGAGGCAGTAAAAGCAAGTGAGTTTTTATAATAATTTCAATTTAAAAAGAGCCAAAAAAAGTGCGTATCAATATTTAAATATAGCTTACGCATATAACATACATATTTACATACATGCGAATATGGTAAAAAGTGCGTAGCAAAAAACCAGTATTTTTCTCACTTCTTTTACTGCGTTTACTTTAGAGCCAAAGAGCCAAAAAAGTGCGTATCAATATTTAAATATAGCTTACGCATATAACATACATATTTACATACATGCGAATATGGTAAAAAGTGCGTAGCAAAAAAACAGTATTTTTCTCACTTCTTTTACTGCATTTACTTTAATGAGAGAAATAAATCTCATTTAAGTAAATCTGCATAGAACTACCAAAATTAAACAAAAAAGTGCGTAACATAGAAAAATAATTAGAACTGAGACTGAGAATAAGAAATATTACTCTCTCACATGTACAGGTTCTGTGTGAATTTAATACAATTGTATGAGTATTTTTATTTTTGTTTACATAAAATAACAAAAATATGAAAGTACAAAATGTATCCGAATACATCATAGCCTACCACATTGCGAGTAAGTAGCAATAAGTTATTTAGTATTTTTTAATGTAGAAGTTATATTCAAGAGATTGATGTTTGCTTAATTAATGAATGTACTACTCATTATAACAATATATAGTCAAAATTTCGTATATATAAAATTTGTTGAGTCGAATTTTATAAATACCCTATTCTTGAATAGCATGTACCGCTTACAAAAAAGATCAATAGGCTAATTTATGGACGGATTACATCAATACATTGACGCAGGTATTACAAACTTTAAGACATAAACAAAATGCCGTTCCCATTAGTGTGGTGTAGGGTGTATTTTGACTGCATTTGGGCTGCTTTGAAATTAACAATAATCGTTCATATCAAGCGTTAATTTTAGCATTAGCACCATTCCTTTAGCAAAATAGCACCTGCTGCTGCAATAAACACTGCTAAAAGTTATGTTGTTCCTATAAAATTATTGAAAACATTTTCAGAAAAAAAACAAATTTTTCAATCGTTTTTATTTTTTTTAATATAATTTTCAAGTGTCAATATTGACTCAACCCAGCAAACACAAAGAGTTTATTTAAAATTAAGAATAATTTTTAATGAAGATCTTTCTTACATTGGTCAACTGATATTGAATAAAAATGGTTAATTCAAAACATTATTTCATAAAATATCGAAATATAATATCAAACAAAAATATAAAAACTTTTTAAACGAAAGAGACTTAGGTTTTGTCATACTCAGTTTCAGTTCTATGTATACCTTTTCTATGGTGCGTAAGATTTTATGTGCATTGTTCACACTAGCAATGAAATTAAAAAAAAAAAAAAAATAACTTAAATTGTTAAAGAGAAAAATAACAAATTAATGCAAATAAAATAATACAAAATATAAATATTAAAGTTGTTCTCCAACACCTTTGTTTTTCTCTTTTTTCTTGTGCAGCGTCGTATTTTTTAGTATTATTTAGGAAAAAACAGAGTTGCATTACTAAAAACAAGATTTTGGGTAGATTTCAACGAAATCTAGTTACGAAGTAGATTTTGTTTTGTATGGGAAATCTAGTTAAAATCAACTAGATTAGGCTCGAAATCTCACAAGTTCTAGATTTCGTGTATGTGTAAATGGGGTATAAGGGTACTAAAATTTTTAAATTTTTAAGAAACTTTTAATGGTTCTACACATTTTTGTAGAAAAGTTAAAAGATCTGGAGAAAATTTCTTATTATAAAAATTTACTCAGCAAAATCTTTACCTATCCGGTTTTTGTTCGACGATAACCAGGAAATAACTGATTACAAATGTGATTACCCCACTTTCCTGGATTTAATAACCTCTTTGCAGTAATTTTCTGTGCTTATTAGTCTATTCTCTTTCTCAATGCTTCATTAACAAGTTATTTGATCGTGCAATTTGGAATGGTTTCAACAAAAATGTAAAAAACAATATTTTTTCAAAAAGATTATAATATCGACCAGGATTAGAACCATTAACTAATTCCATATTATACACACACTCTAGACAATTATTTACAAATCCTATTGAAAAAATTAATTAATATTGTTGATAACGATCGCTCATTGTCAAGTAATGTATGAAATAATTACATCACTCATAACCAAAATTTGAAAATTTTTTACAGAGTTGTTATGGATACACAATCCATGCACAATAGTAAACTCCCGTTTGCTTGTTGATTTGTAAGTGTTATTGTTATAATACATAAATACATTGTCAGCATAAATAAATTCAAATATGAAAACAACTCATATTTCTTTCAGCATAAATAAATTCAAATATGAAAACAACTCATATTTCTTTTCAAATGTAAAACTGCTGACTGAATGTCTGTCAGAGTTTTAGTTGATAAACAAATGATATAATTTAAGTTAGTCACGACAATAAAGTCGGGAAAAAAATAAAGAAACGGTTTTTATTTAATTTGCGCAGTCGGTAGGATACTCGAGTATCCTCGTGTATATTTCGTATATATAAGCGCAAATTATATATGCTGAGAAGCAAGCGATATTAAGTGTTTCAACATTTTTCACCGAGTATTCGAAAAAAAAATATATATATATATATATATTAAGAACCGTTTTCACACGGATTCCGTTTTACGTGTTCCTTTAAAGTTGTGAAAACATGGCGGTAAACCAACCGAACCCAATCCTAGCAATCAGCAGGTATACGGACTCTAGATATTAATCCGCTAAAATATCTGGAAAAAATTCAAACCTTTGATGGAAGGAAGGAAGATTTGTGCACTTTTTGCACCAACGTTGATGATATAATTCCTACCATAATGTTGTATAATGAACAAGCACAAAGGATGTGCATAACATATAAAAAGCAAACTGATGGGTAAGGCTCGAAGAGCAATGGAAATACATCCACACTTAAATAACTGGAGTGAAATAAAGGCAATGTTGGAAACCAATTTTGGAGGTTTCCAAACAGCTGATCAATTGTATCAGGAACTGCGAGCGGCGCAATACAGAGGAAGTACAATAAACTTCCACAACTACATACTACAAAAGTTGGCAATTTTGAACCAAAAAAGCAGACAAGAAGGAAATATGCAGGATGTTGAAAGGAACATACAAACTGCACTAAAGGTGTTCACAACAAGATTACCCGTACACACGAGAACAGTTCTTTGTTCTCTAAAACCTCGAACCATGGAGGAAGCTATGCATGAGTTGGCCCAATCAGGGTTTTTGAATGAAGAAAAGGGCACCGATAGGAAGGAAGGAAGAAATAATTGGCAGCCTAAGACCAATTATAACAAACAACACAACAACGGGCAACAAAACAATAGATGGCTACAAAATAATGATCAACATAACAAGTGGCAACCTAAGCTATACTTACCAACAACACAGCAACAACCGGAACCGATGGACGTTTCAACAACTCAGACGAGAAGACAAAACCATCATGGTCAGCAGTCCAAGGAAGCGGAATGTAATTGTAAGTGTTTGAATTTTGATTATAAAAATTATGTTAGACAAGACAGACAGAGTTACGGGTCTCATGAACCAGGAAATTTTCCTGTAATGGCCTCTCACATAAAAGACCCGGGAGACTCGGACTCACATATATCCTGTTTAGAGGAAAATCAAGGTCCTTGCGACTATTAATTGACACATGATCGAGCGAAAACGTTTTAAATTTTGACCATTGTCCCCCACAATTTATCAAAAGGTTGGAGAACCCCATATCGATTAAAACAGCATCAGGAATTTTTAATATTTCCCACGAGGGTATTATACCAAAAGACAGTATGCAAATACCATTAGTTTCAGATACGACTTTCGGTTTATACGAATTTCATGATTTTTTCCATGGACTTTTGGGACATTTGACTTTAAGATTAAACAGAGAAACAATTAATTACGAAGAAAAAACTTTAAAAATAAATGGAAGGACATTAAGGTTATATTATGAAGGAGATGATGAGGAGACGACAGTTTCAGATGATATAAATCGGTTACCAGAATTTTATAGTATTGAGCAATTAGGTAATACTAATAATCCTTTACGTTTACACCATTTGAATTCCGAAGAATCAAAAGCTATTCGTATCTTAATTCAGAAACATGAAGATGTTTTCTATCATAAAGGTGATGATTTGACCTTTACAAATGAAGTAAAGCATAAAATTGATACAGGACTGACAGGTCCCATATATTCTAAAGCATATAGATATCCTAGTATTCATACAGAAGAAGTAGAAAAACAAATGAACGAAATGTTAGAACAAGGAATCATAAAACATTCAAATTCACCATATAACGCACCTATATGGATTGTCCCTAAAAAAGAGGACAAAGTAGGTAACAAAGAATGGCGTATAGTCATAGATTACAGCAAATTAAATCAGGTTACTAAGGAAGATAAATATCCTATACCACGAATAGATGACATACTAGACAAACTAGGTAGAGCGAATTATTTTTCGACATTAGATCTTACCAA